ACTACAGTAACATATGGAACCAGATCGGCTCCATACCTGGCTACGAGATGTTTAAATCAACTAGCAGCTGATGAATCAGTTAAATACCCAATGGCGGCACAAGTTATACAAGATTTTTACGTTGACGATATTATAACTGGTGGTAGCACTCTAACTGAAGCTATTGAAATTAAAAATCAATTAAGAAAGTTGTTGAAATCAGCTCAATTAGAGTTGCATAAATGGGCTTCAAATGATGAAAGATTGCTCCTGGACATACCAAAAGATAACAGAGAAAAAGAGAAAGAATTTTCAAATGATGACCAAGGATATATAAAGACTCTCGGTTTATCGTGGCAACATCAAAATGACATATTTTCATTTAAAACAACTTGGGTAGATAATGAAATAAAGTTAACAAAACGAAAGGTTGTATCAGAAACGGCACGGTTATTCGATCCTTTAGGTTTGGTCAATCCAATTATTGTTATCGCAAAAATATATATACAAAAATTATGGAAATCAAAAGTAGATTGGGATGAAGAATTGAATCATGAGTTACAACTAGAATGGAATAATTTCCGAGAAAGATTAATAGACATCAACAAAATCAAAATTTCAAGATACGTGGGAGTCATATGTCATGTCAGGGCAGAGCTTCATATGTTCGGTGATGCTAGCGAGAAGGCTTACGGGGCAGCAGCTTATTTGAGATTTATTGATTCATCTGGGACTATCAATTGTAAATTATTCTGTTCGAAATCTAAGGTTGCTCCTGTGAAATTATTGACTCTTCCAAGATTGGAGCTGTGTGCAGCACGACTCGCAACAAAACTTGCAAATAAAATAGAGTCAGTACTTAAAATTAACATTGATGAGACATATTTATGGAGTGATTCACAAATAGTGTTGTCATGGATCAAAGGGGATCCAGGGTTATTCAAGACATATGTCGCTCACAGAATTGCTTATATACACGAAAAAACAAAAGTTCACCAATGGAAGTACGTGAACACCAAAGATAATCCGGCAGATTTATTATCAAGGGGCATATGGTCGAAACAAACCAGCGAACTAGAAAAATGGTTTTATGGACCACAATTTTTACAATTGAAAGAAGAAGAATGGCCACAAAATCAATTTGAGGTTATGAGGTTAGAAGAAGAAGAGAGAAAAACGTCATTAATTGCAAAGGGTGAAGACAATGAAGTAGAAAACGATCATCCACTGTATAAAATCAATCATCGTAATTCATACAACGTTTTGCTTCGAACGATGGCCTATGTGTTAAGATTCATTGGAATAATGAAAAAGGAAAGAAGTGAAAATAGTTCGAAAGGCTGTTTAACAGTAACAGAGATGAATGATGCATTGTCATTAATTATTAAAGTGGTGCAGAAGAAACATTATTCGAATGAATTGAAGCAACTTCAACAAAGCAACAAAATTGCGAAAAATAGCAAAATAAGTTCATTAACACCGTTTTTAGATACACAAGGAATTATAAGAGTAGGAGGTAGATTAGATAATGCTTCAATATCGTACGATGCAAAGTATCCAATTGTATTACCAGGAGAAGAGTTTTTATCAAAATTAATAATCGAACATTTACACAAGAAACATTTTCATGCGGGACCACTAGCTTTATTCACTTTTTCTAGGCAGAAATTTTGGATAACACAAGGAAGAAATGTGTGCAGAGCAGTGACAAGAAATTGTATTAAATGTGCAAGATCAAATCCACAACTTTTACAGCAAATAATGGGCAATTTACCATCAGAAAGGGTTCTACCTTCAAGACCATTTAGCAATACCGGTGTTGATTTTTGCGGACCTATTTGGACACATTACTTAATAAGAGGGAAACGACCGCAAAAATCGTATATTGCAGTATTTTGCTGTTTTGCAACAAAAGCGATACATATGGAAGTAGTGTCTGACTTAACATCTGACGCATTTATTGGTGCATTAAAACGTTTCGTTGCAAGAAGAGGTTTATGTGAAAATATATTTTGCGACAACGCTACTAATTTTGTAGGAGCAAAAAATAAGTTAGACGAATTAAAAATATTACTTAGTAAACAAGAAGAACAAAATAAAATTATAAATAGTTGCGGCACTAACAATGTTCAATTTCATTTTGCACCTCCGAGATCCCCACATTTTGGAGGTTTGTGGGAAGCAGCTGTTAAATCTGCAAAAAAATTGTTATTTAAAACTTTAGCATCGGCTTCATTAACATTTGAGGAACTCAACACAATGGTAGCAGAAGCAGAAGCCGTACTGAATTCGAGGCCATTAACACCATTTTCTTGTGATCCAAACGATTTGACAGCGCTCACTCCAGGACATTTTCTAGTGGGGGATCCATTAATAGCATTACCACAGCCCAATATGCAAGACAACAAGATTACTACGTTATCAAGATGGAAACTTGTTTCAGCTTTACGCCAAGAGTTTTGGAAAAGATGGCATATCGAATATTTGTCGCAGTTACAGCAAAGATACAAATGGAAAGAGCCTTCAAAGAATGTATATCCAGGTATGATGGTAATTATCAAAGACGAGAATGCTCCTCCATTGAAATGGCCATTAGGTAGAGTAGAAGAAATTATCAAAGGTGAAGATGGGTTTGTACGAGTAGTAACAATTAGAACAGCAAGCGGTGTGTTTAAACGCGCTATACATAATATAGCACCTATTCCAATAGAAGATAAAGAACAAATAGAGAAGAAAGATGAAAATAAAAAGAAGAAAGAGAATGCTGAAATTATTGCTCCCAATAAAAGGCGAAGGATAGACAGTCCGTTCAGCGCAACAATGTTTTTATATCTAACAATTTTGTTTCTTCCGTTACTTGCCTTAGGAAAGTCGACGACACCCTTTAATGTAACAACACTTCAACCGAACGGAGCATACTTTGAAAAAGTAGGAAGTGGAAAATTAATTGCCACTCATTGGAATTTAGTGGTTTATCACAATATGTCCAACTATTGGTACTCTGAAGCAATGATTATGAAAGGCTTAACACAAATGAAAGATATAACTAATAAAATAAAAAATGCTGATATGGTTAAATTATTACTGGAAAAGTATGAGCATAAGATAGACAAAATTCAAGAAAGGAATCAACTTTTATTTAACAATATATCTCATTATGATCGCAAAAAACGAGGACTTATAAACGTCGTAGGCAACATAGCCAACAAATTATTTGGAGTGTTGGACGACGAATATGCTGAAAAAATTGAAAATGTTGTAAAAAACTTAGAATTTAATCAAAAGAAGGCACTTCACTTAATTCATAACCAAACATATATTATAGAAGCTACAACAAATTTATTGAAGAAAAATGAAGAGGAAAGAAACCAGCATTTGAAGATAATTCAAGATGAAATTGAAGAGATTCAAAGAACGTTAAAATTCTTGTTACCGCATGAACAAGAAGAGAAGGTTCAAAATTTCTTTTTAATGGTAGGGCAGTACTTAATGTTAATTATTGACGAATTTCAAGAAATACAGACAACAATGTTGCACATAATGAGAGATGCACAACATGGAAAATTCAATACAGTTATTCTAACACCAAATCAAATAGCCGAACATCTTGAGGAATTGCGTCAGATCATTCCAACAGAACAATTAAACATTCCATCATTAATACAAATATATGGAATGACAAGTATTAGCGCTAAATTTTCCAGAGAATCTATTATTTTTGTCATAAATATTCCCTTACTAAGAACAATGGAATTCGAAATTTATAATATTGTATCTTTCCCAGTAAAAATGAACAATTCATCAGTTGAAATAATTCCAAACACAAAATACATAATGGCCAATTTACATAGGGATACGATCTACCCATTATCTAAAGAAGAATTTTCGGATTGCGTATTTTATAAAACAAGTGGATATCTATGCAATCAACTGTATCCATTGTTAACCAAATCATCAACTCAACTGGAATGTGAGATTCAACTGTTAACTCAACAAACTATTTCAGATAAATGTACGCTTAAAATATCAAAATCTAGAAAAGCTTGGATACCACTATATCAGAAAAATGCATGGTTGTTTTCATTACACAAACAAAATAAAATAGATAATCTTGTTTGTCATGATCAAGCATACTCAATGAAATTACCAGAAGCCGGGTTACTAAAATTTTATGACGATTGTATACTCAAAGATGATGAATTTATAATTGAATCGTTTAAAAGGAGAAATTATCAAGTTAATACACCATTCGATGACGTCCAATCATTGCCAGAGTTTAATTTTACATTTTTTGAAGTTGAACATGTTAAACAGTTCAATGTTAAACATGAACCGTATATAGCTGCATATGGCAAGATTAAACAACAATTACAAAAATTAAAAGAACAAGATTATAGTTATGAAGATAACTCTCGTAATGATACACATCACTATATAACTAGTTATTTGGGTTTAACAATCGCCATTATCAGTTTTGTGCTCATCATTAGATTTTTAATAAAATTCAAAAATGCAACTATTAATCAACAAGCCACAATAGCTCCAGCTACTTCAAGACAGCAATATCATCTTGATGCACTAGACATCAACGCGGGGGAGAATGTTAATTAATGCAGCCAACTGTACTTTTTTATCATAAAAAAAAAAAAAAAAAAAAAAAATATAATATTTCTTAAAATAATCTAAAATTAGTATTGTTAATACAAAGTCTTTAAATGTGGTAAAAAGGATATATTGTGATTTAAAACTATACATTTTTTGTTGTAGCAGGTAGTAAAATGTTTTTAAATGATCTGAAAATAATCTAAAAATAATTTGAAGATGCACATGTTTTTTATTTTTATTGCTTAGCCTTATTTTTGAAGATAAGGATAATAAAATAGTAGGTAAACTTGAAATGGCATAAAAGATAAAGAATATTTTGAATATACATACAAAGTTAAAATACAATCAATTTAATATTTGTTATTTATCACATTATAAAAATTTCCAAAATAATAAAAATAAATTTAGTAAGAATTATGTATCTAATTACTATTAAGAAAAAGAGTGGGAGAAATATGTAATATAAATTTTTTGTATATAAACCATAGATTTAAGGAAATAAAGTGAGTTAAAAATTTAGAATACAGAAGACACACTTCTTTTAAATTTTGACAGAGAATTATTATTGTTATTAAACGCAGGAATCCTAGTTTAATACTATAATAATTACTTGTGACGAATTTCGAGTTAGAACACGCCAGCTATTTATTTTCGAGACAGAAAGTCATTATTTCATTGAACGTAGGAATCCTAGTTCTTTGTTGTAATAATTATATGTGACAAAATAAAATCAGCGAGTACAGGAGACAATAATTTTTAAGGAAAAAATTATAATACTTTACAGGAGGAAATAAAATTTTGAAAGTAACTTTTAATCACAATATTATTTTTATAGATTCCCTTAATTTCTTACCAATACCTTTGTCCAAATTTACTTCAGCTTTTGGTCTTGATAAAAATGAGGTTAAAGGTTATTATCCTTATTTATTTAACACGAAAGCAAACTATAATTATGTTGGAGAAATTCCAAGCACTGAAATGTTTGCTTTGAATAATTTTAACTCACATGAGCTAGAAAAATTTTATTTATGGTACAACAACTTGAAGAAATCAAATTATGTTTACAATAACAGAGAAGAGTTAATAAAATATTGCATCCAAGATGTAAATGTATTACGTCAGGGATGCTTAAAATTTATGAATGATTACCTTCAATTATTGAATATTAACCCTTTCTTTGAAACCTTTACTTTAGCACAAGCTTGTTTGACTGCATACCAAAAACATTTTCTAAAAGAAAACACCTTAGGTGTAACTCCCATTAACAATTATAGTAAAAAAAAAAATCAATCTTTAATTGGCCTAATGTGGCTTGAATTCAAAAATCAAGCTAGCTGTGGTAAAATTAAATATGAATATGATTTACCAGATTGCAACTTTACAGTAGACGGCTTTAATCCAAACACAAATACGGTTTATGAATTTTTAGGATGCTTTTACCATGGATGCGAAGACTGTTTCTTCGATAGAAATTTAGTTGTCCATGGGTATAAAATGCAGGCTAGGTTTGAAAATGCTATGTGCAAAATAGCAGTTTTAAAACAAAGTGGATATAATGTGTGCTGTGAATGGGAATGTAAATTTAAACAATTTTTAGAAATCAATCCAAAAATAAAAATTGATTTAAAAAATACTTCTTTGATTTTACTTAACTCAATTGATGCTCGAGGTGCTATTTTTGGAGGTCGCACCGAAGTATTTAAATTATACTATAAAATCCAAGCAAATGAAAAAATTTGCTACTATGACTTCACCTCCCTCTACCCATATGTAAACAAAAATTGTAAATATCCAATAGGACATCCTAAAATTTATAATTCTCAAGAATGTTTACAATTTGAAAATGATATCAGTAAAATAGACGGTTTAATTAAATGTGCGGTTCTACCACCGCAAAACTTATGGCTGCCAATCTTACCAATCCGCGCTAACAACAAAATGTTGATGGTTTTATGTCGCTCATGCGCGGAAATGGAAAATGTGTTGTATAAATGTACTCACAACGATAAAGAAAGAATGCTTTTTGGCACATGGACGGATATGGAATTAAAATTAAGTGTGAAATACGGGTACACAATAATAGAAATACATGAAATTTGGCATTATGATTGCGAAACTTATGATTCAATATCTAAAACAGGTGGACTTTTTACTGACTACATGAATTTTTTTATAAAATACAAGACTGAGGGTTCTGGTTATCCAACTGGTATACAAACTAAATCTGAACAAGACGCATACATAAAGGATTTTTTTGAAAATGAAGGTGTGATGTTAGATAAATCAAAAATTGCTCTCAATCCTTCACTGCGAAATCTGGCGAAACTAAAATTAAATTCATTTTGGGGAAAACTAATACAACGAAATGACCGTCATTCAACAACTGTTGTACAAACCATCACACAATTTCATAATTTAATACATTCAAGCGGTATATCAGTATCGGACATATTTACTGCCAGCGAGCACCAGGTGTGGATCAACTGGAAATACAATTATCCTGAATTGAATCCCGTTCTCAAAAATCAATGTTTAATAGTTGGAGCTTTTACGACAGCGCATGCTCGATGCTTATTGTATAATGAAATAACCAAAATTGGAAAAAATCTTTTGTATTGCGATACGGATTCTATGATTTTTGTTCAGCATACTGATAATGAGTATGACTTAAAGACAGGTTGTCAAATGTCTAAAAATACATTTTTGCGCGATTACTAACAATTTTTTAATTGTTACAGGTACTTTAATTGGAGATTTAACTAACGAATTTACATCATACGGAAAGAATGTTTACGGCACAGAATTTGTATCAACAGGACCCAAAAGTTATTCATATCGTTATTATAACCCGGATACTGACAAATACGGAGAAGTTGTTAAATGTAAAGGAATAACAAGTAATAAAAATGGAACATCACTAAATTTTGAGCACATGAAACAAATAGTTACCGATCCTTTTGGAAGCAATAATTTGTATTTCGTAACACCAAACAAAATTAAGCGTAAGAAACATTTTCACGTTACTTCAGAAGATGAAAAGAAAAAATTTGGCTTTACATTTACGAAACGTGCTTGCCGTGATAATTTTGAAACAATTCCTTATGGTTTCTTAAACAGTTAAAAAAAGGTAGGTACACATAAAAATTTTGTATATAAATTCGTGAGTTTAAAATAATAAAACTTCATTTTTATTTTTACATGTACCGAAGAAACATGGCACAAAATGTATTAATAGCAGATCTACAATTTATAGTCGGAAGTAATAATGAACTTTACCTAAAAGAAATGGCAACGATTGATACCAACTCAATTATCTCAAAATTATACCACTTTAAACCTCCGTATCGTCAGGAAAAACTAGATTCAGCAGCAAGGGGGCAAAACGCATACAACCTAAGACATGTCAACGGTTTGAATTGGATTGACGGTAATATTAATTACAGTGAAATTTCTACAATCATGGGAAGTTTTTCGTCTTACGATAAAGTTTATGTAAAAGGAGTTCAAAAGAAAACGTTTTTGGAAAAATATTTGCTACCCCAGGTTATTAATTTGGATGATGAAATACCACCTTTAGATAAATTAAAAAATTATGAATCATTCTGTGTAATTCATTTGAAATCTGACACTCATAAAAAACGTTGTGCTGTAAAAAATTGCGTAAATATCTTAATGTATTTAATAAAAACAAATGTAATTTGATTTAAAAAAATGTTTTTTTATTTTGGTATTATATTAATATTACATGTTATGGAATCATTACATAAATCCAAATTATATAAGTAACAAAATATTTGTTCTGCCATAAAGATTGGCACCTCATAGAATAGTCTGCTATAATTACATTGATAAGATGAAAACTGCATTGGTATGTAAAAATCTTCCTGTGATAGTTTAATAACTCCTTTTTCTTTACATTTTGTAAAGTATTTATGAATGTATTCTGCAATAGTATCACTAGCATTGTTATTGTATGACATTACAGCTTGTATGAAATCCAACATTTCGTTCAATTTCCAATACTCTTCTTGTCGAATATCAAAAGTAATTTTATCTTGTTGATTGAATTCCAAAATGTTGCAAAAAGGTTCACTTTGTTGCTGATTTTCGTTAGTGATCCGAGCAGATTCCAACATTTTGGCTTTTTTGTAAAATGAGTGCCAATCATCATAGAGGACATGGACAGATCTTTTGCCATTTCGATGAAATATTATTTTTGACTGGAAAGTGTCGCAGTCGAATCCAATAACTATCTTACATGTTTGTTTCGTGTTTAGAAAATATATGTAAGAAAGTAACAAATTTTCTTTTTCCGGTAATATTTTCTTTTCTTTTTTTCTTGACATTTTTGATGGAGATGTTTTTCTTTTTAACGGCATTGTAGAATCAGAAGCGCTAAAACTGAATAATTATTTCCAAGCACAGAGCTTTGTATTTATACTCTTGACGTAAAACTTTAGTGCTGTTGTGAAATCGGTTTCTGGCATATTTGTAAATAGTTCTTTGTTTGCCTTTGACGTCCGAAAATTTTTGAAAACAATTTCACAACCGTTTTGTCATTAAAGTTGAGATTGTTGCTATTGAATATATCTAAAAACGTTGACATGCTATGACCTTTACATCTGTACCACAAATATACGCAGCAATATTGTCCACAAACTTCTGAAAAGTCGCCTTGTAATCTTTTGTAATTCCAGACAGTATATGAATTCTTTGAAATTCTTCTTAGAAAATGTTGTAGTTCTTTATAGGAAGGTGCTTGACCATACGAATCAAAATACTCGACAAAACCATTTGTGGGTATAAAGATACATACCCAATGTTTACCTGGCTTAGTATGAACATCTGTATTTACTACTATAATTGCGGGTTTTTGAACATGTTTAGGAAGCTTATCAAGAGGAAAAACTCCTTTAAAAAACTTTTTTGTTTGCTGATTGCATGACAATACATTTTTAATTTGAAGAGAATCCATAAGAGTTATTTAGTTGTCTTCTCCAAAAGAAGTAAAATCATAAATTTTTGTGTTTCCTTTTAAATAGTGTTTTAGAAAATCCTTGTTAATACGGCCATTCGTTAAAATAATATCAAATTTTTCCATTAATGCGACAAGTTCCTTATCTGCTTGGTTATTATATATGTTTCCAAATTTATAGCCTTCAGTAGCACTTGGTTTAAGGGCTTTTGTGGGAAATTTGTATTGTATTTCTTTAGCGAATACTTTACAATTTTCTTTTATTCCTACTAGCGTAACATTTTTAACAAAGACAAAATCTTTATCATCGGAACAAAATGTTAAATCAATGAGTGCATAAGCTTGTTTAGACATGTTTGCTATGGAGAGTATAATACTTGATTGTTTCATAATAAGTAAATGTTGAGCTTTTTATAGATTTGCATACACGTTCCGATTTTTATCTATTTGTACGTTCGCATCAAATTCCCCATAAACTAGAGCTGTAAGTGTTGATGAAGTTGGTTTCGATAATCTTGCCTCAATTCGTACAGTTCCTTGATTAAGTAAACCTTGACATACTTCATTACCTGATGCATCTGGGGTTAAATCAAAAGCCAATAAAAAGAAACCATTTGTAAACATAGATTTCGTTATTTGATGACCTCTGTCGTTATGATAAATTCCTGTTCCAGAGAATAATGTATGGTAAGCTCTTGTGCTGCAGTTATTATCGTCAGAAAAACTTGTTTCTATTGCTGCATTTGGTACTTGAACACCATTAACATAAAGCATGAATTGTGAAATATCAAAATGCTTAAAATTGTAGGGATTTTTTGATCGTTTCCCGGAATACCCCGAATTTTCGGTCATGCAAAAGATAATTGTGTTTGGTAATTGACCAATGAAAACATTGTCTAGTGAAATCGATGAGCTGTTGCTTGGAATTGTGAAATTTTTGACTTCTACTCTTTTATAATGATATTTAGCATTTGCTTTTTCCAAAACTGCATTATGGGCTAGTAATACGCTAGGATTTATAGTTACATGTCTCATAAATAAATTGGCTTCTACAATTTTTAGTTGCGATTCATCCGAGTCGTCCGCAAATAAGAAAAAATCTGGTTTTTCTAATGTGAATAGAATTCGAATATCAACATTGTTTATTAGAAGCGTAGGTTGATTAAACATATCGACATGGAGTTTTCCCATGAGTTCAACAATATTACTGTTATGATATAGTTTTTGACGTTCCTTTGAACCATTATTGTCAGATCTAGCTATATTCGGTTTATCTAAAATCCATCCAGCGCATTCCAAATGAGTTGTTGCAGCATCAGTTCCATAATTTAACAATGATTCAATATAAGCTCTATAATGGTAATTTCCATCTGACGGAGTGATATTTTTACCATTGAGTTGTACATTGCACTGCTTAATTATAGAATGTAATAGATTATTCACTACACTGGGTTGTTGAAGGATTTTTCCATCTGCACCCTTATCATCATGCCACGGTGTTCCATCTTTTTTTAAAATTTGAACTTTCAGTTTTAGATATGTTGAAGACAAATCCCTGTATGTGTCACCATGACCTAATGAAACGAATTCTATTGTTGAGGGACTATCCAGAGAAGCAATAGGATTGTATGAAACCTCTTCAGATTTTAGAATGCTTGCTTGTATTGGTGGACTTGTAAATAAATCTAGTTCTGATTTCATACATTCGTTCATTTTATATTTTAATTAAATATATCTCGTTTTTCTCGTTTTTGAATTTTTTTCCTTTGTTTACTCTTAGCTTTGCGTTTCTTTTGATTTGAATGAGTTAATGTAGTTGAGTGAGTTCTTTTTATAGCTCTTCTTCTTCTTATACCGCTGCCATACATTTCATTTAGTTTGTTTACAGCTCGACGTCTTATATTTTTTAATGCTTCTTTCCCTCTATCTTGCAATACTTCTTTTGGATTTGCTCCGGAAATAATATCAGATAATGCATTAATGCCGGTGTCTAAAGATTCTTTTTTCACTAAATTCAAACCGGATGATATAACTGGTTTTAAATATTTAAACAATCCTCCAAAGAAACTTCCAAGTCCTCGTCCTCTTTGATATTGCACACTTGAGTGAACTAAAGGTCCAATGTCGTCAGTACCCCTACCACTTTGTACTAAATAATACTTGTAATATGAACGGTTCATCATATAAGAATAAATAACATGAGCTTGTTGACTTATTTATATCTTTTGAAGTGTAATACAATTTTGGTGGGCATGTTGCTTCTAGAAAAATTTAAATTATATCCGTATTTGTCACATAGCAAAATTGAAATGCTTTCAAAACTGTCTTTTTCAATATTACAATACTGAACTTGGTCAAATTGTGTTACGAAATCTGTAAATGGATTTGTTGTATTAATAGTTCTCATACATCTTGCCATTGTATCACCAATATATTGCGGTTCTATTATATCCGTATAAACAAACACCATATCAGTTTTAGTTTCTGGAGAGGTTACTAACATATTTGTTATATTTTGATATGCTTCAATAAATTTTGATTTATATTTTTTAAGTTCTTTTTGTACAGCAAGTACTTGTTGAAGACATGTTTTCAATAAAAATTTTACTGTATACCCAGTGCCAACAAGTATTCGTATTTCAGCCGAAGGCCTTTCAATGCATAATTTTATGTATTCTGTATGTGTAGTATCTATCTTAAATTTGTTATCCAAAACATAATTAGCATCATTTGAAATGAAATTATAGATTTCCCATATTAATTGTTGTTCCACTTCTTTTCTTGTGTATCCCGGATTTGGAGAAATATTTTGAAACAGTGTGGGTAATAAAAGCGTTTTCCAATCGCATCGCAATTCGTTTTCATTATAAGGAATATAGGTTTTTCCAATACCGATGGAGTTTTTTTCCGTTGTTCCAATAAATATCACAGCAGCCTTTGCGTAAACTTCTCCAAATATGTTTGGAATAAAATTGTTCATAAAAAGTTCACAAATTCCTACTTTCCACTTATTTTTCTCTAAGTTCAAATGTTTTGGTAATTTATTTGTAAATTTTGATAAAGTATTTTCGGGATAATATTTAATTGATGCGTCACTCAACAACGTTATATAAAAATCTTCCCCATTAGGTTCTATTTGAAGCGTG